TTATTTTGCTTTCTTTTCCAATCCCTGATGATTTTGTTCTCCGATAAAAATAAAAGGGAAACATAAGCAATGAAATTTTTAATATAGATGCATCTTTTCAGCCCTTTATTTGTGACATGGACAAATAGGAAAAGATATGAGATTACGAGGTTGTATTGGTACTTTTAATGCGATGCACTTACATGCTGGGCTACGCGAATACGCTACAACTAGGTGAGACAAAGTTTCTCACATTAGAAGATAAAATAATATATAAATATGCGAACTTTATAGATATATAAAATTTATATATAAATTATATTTATATAATTGTAAAACTTATTGATATCACAATATATTGTGTATTTAGAAATAATAATATGTAATATATAGTAAATTTAAAACATTGCTTATATGAATAATTATGATATTTAGAATAGTAACCATGCATGCGCTTTGATATATATATATATATTTTTTTTTCTTCCTACATGTTTAAAGCGCATTCAAAGATTCTCGATTTAATCCGATAACTCGGGATGAGCTGCCGCGCTTGCATGTAAGCGTGTCGATTTTGCGGCATTTTGAGGATGGGGTTGACTATTTAGATTGGGAAGTGGGTGTGCACGGAATTCGCATAGAATTTCACAATGAGAAGGGTAACAAACGGACAGCTACTTATCTGCCCAGCGTAGCTATGGAGCAAGGTGCGTATCCGCGATATAGAATAGGCTAAAGCAATAGAAATTCCCGTCTTCTACGAGGAATAACTTGTAATCTGATGTTCAGGATGGGACCAGATACAAACGATAGATTCTCTGCTACATAAAGGTGGCTTCAAAGGCTTAGTCACACCCGATATCCGTCGTAGCCTGAAACTGACTCGTTATCAAAGCGAGGAGGTCACTGTGAGCTATCAGGACTACATGACACATTGTCACAATCGAAGATGCTAGCAAATCGCCTGGGGTCCCAGCCAGGGACCCCAGCTACAGCAATCCGCTGAGGCTCGTTATAACATACACATGGTCAATTCGTCTCATTTGCAAAATGATAACATTCGATACAATTCCTATGCATCTGCTCAGCAGACGGTCACGCAACGACCGAATCGCTCGACATTCGTATATCCATTACCCTTGCCTCCAATTCCCCCCGTTATGGTACCGGTATGTAACAATCCACCCCTCTGGTGGGATAACGCGGGTCCGTCCTATCTACCTGCACCGCTTTATCCTCGACCACCGCATCGCTTCCTGACGCAAGAAGCTGCGGAGCGCGGGGTACGTAAGCGAAAATGACATTGGAGGCGATTATTTCTCGCGATTTTCCACTGTTTAAAGTGGTGCGTGTTTCTGTGTCTTAGTATGCATAGCCTCCCATTTATGATACCGCGTGCTCCGTCTTGAGGATAATAATAAATATTTTATATGTGATGATATCGTCTGATTATCGACATTAAGAATAGATAAAAAAGATAGATAAAAAAATTTAAAACTTGATCAAAATATTTATATTAATTAATTTAAATATTTATATTGTTTTTCAAATACTTTCAGTTATATCAAAACAATTTCCACGAGTTTTGTCGACTTCGGTAATTAAATAATAATGAAAAAGCTTAAACGTATAATTATTCGTTAATTCTACTTTTTCATAAATACATTTAATTTTTCTTTAGTAACAATTGATGTTGCCATTATATTATAAAGAATTTACATTAATATAATATAAAAATAGCAATGAGCACTTTTGTAAGACAGTGATTATGCCTAAAATTCACTGCCTGCTCTCACGATATAATGTACAAAACAACGTTGGAAATAGTCCATTTTTTAAATATATGACATAATATTCTTATATACTAAAAGAAAATGAAAACAATTTAAAGTTTTTGATAAATAATTTGTCTCTATTAATGTTTCATTAGTTAAACGATCCATTTTATCCATATTATTTTATCCATAAAGTACAAGTAAAGTTATCCATAAAGTTTGCATTACAAAGATAGATTTTTACCTCATTAAAATGCATCAATTATACATTTAATCAAAAAGACAAGTTTAAAAAAAGATATTAATTTTCTATGATCAATTGTGATTTAATTATTAATTATTAATTAAATCACAATTGAGTTAAAGCGTAACAAGAAATCATAACACGATAGAGATTAATATTAGATTATAAATATTAGACTAGTAAAAGTTAGGTAAAACAAAAATATAAAAGATCTCAAATGTAAATTTGTATTACTCGATTGATAAATTATCATAATTTTATGATAGTTGCACCATTTACAGTATCTTATATACATTTGTTACATCTGTTACATCTGTTAACATATAGCTCGCATATTTTAATTGCTTCTTAGAATATTATAATATGAATTAAATTAAAAGATTCCTTATATTGCCAGCTATTCTCAAGCGGGCTTTAAACACTGCCAATTTATTCGCCCTGTTGTATCTTTTTTATACTAATGAAATATTTGTTAGAAATAAATATGAATATTGTTATTATATCTTATCTTTATTATAGTATATGTTACTTTCCGTGTTATTTGTCGTAAGTTTTAATTATTATTATTATTATTATTATTATTATTATTATTATT